ACATTTTCTCTCTCTCTCTATATATATATATATATATATATATATATATATATATATAACGTACGGAGCATGAGTAAACTTACGCGTGTCACAATCAGAGAAAATGAAAGTGAGGACAACACATTTGCACGTGCCTTGTTAGTTCGATTGAGAGATCATGACATGCGCTCCACTTGTTCAAATTTGAACCATTTCGGAAGGTGTACCAAACGAAGTACGGTCATCCTGTTTCAGCTTCCATCCAGGAGGCCCGGCTGAGCCAACACAGGCTAATCTAGTGGTCAGTGGTTTCTAAGCTGATCTTCCGGTAGTCGTTCCCGAACCAAACGGCGCTCAAAAATGAGGCACTTCGATGACCTGGGATATTTTGGAAGTGCTCTGGGCGTTGCATTTGGCGTTGCGGCACGTAGAGCAAGAATGTTATCCACTGTCAAGCACTGTTTGACGAACCCTTTCGTTGCTAGAAGGTTGCTCCTAGCGTACGTGAACGATTCGGTGGCTTATTTTACTTTTGAAACCAGCACTGCTCGAGAAGCTTTATTTTTGCCGTGAATGCATCATCATCAGTGATAAACTTTTCCGAAACCCCCATTTTTCATTTTGGATTTTTATAAGGCAAATTGTACATTTGACTTTGAATTATTGGGTTCTGGTTAAAGGCCGGGATTGTTAGGAGTACATAATGTTGGAGAGTGAAGATGTTCGATCACTTAAGCAGGCTGCGTGCACGATATTCACTCCACTGACAAAGGTGTATTTTTCGTTTTTCCCTTCAAGCTTAAACCTGTAGAATTCAATACGGTTTTACGGTGATATGTGATGGATTGTGCCACTGGTGTTAAACCTGAGGTCCTAGTGTATTCAACATGCTGGTAAGTAATGCCTAGGGCAATTTACACCAAGCTCACCATAAAGATACCACCTTTCCAAGCCCAATGGCAAAATTCCGCGAGTGAAAAGACACAGTACAGTGAAAAGACACACAGTACAGCAACACCAACTTGGGGGGGGGGGGGCTTATGGCCAATTTTGCGTTGAAGAATCGTACAGTCAGATGATACGCACAGCTAAATAGGCCCCCAGGTGCACAATTTCCGTGAGCTGAGCGATGAAAGACGACACTAATCGATCATTCAGCCATCTGCCTAGTCGGTACTCCTATGACTTCTTACTTAACAATGCCCTGCTATTTTCACACATAAATCCACGTGATCCTTTGACTCTGGAATACTGACTGGATCTCAAACCGTTATCAAAACAGCCTTGATGGATATGCCTCATTAATTTCGTTCTACGGGTCAGTATTCATGGTTCTGTCCGATTTTTCCATAAGTGACACATTTCACTTTTGCTCCGCGAGTTTTACGTGGAACATTTAGTTGAGATGTGGTCCGTACTTGATTGAGTCAGCTCTGTGAGCCAAATGTGCGTATCCTACACTTCATGTTGAATAAGTGGAGTATTTGTTGCTGGGATTTCGGAATAACTTTGCTTATTGAAAGTATCTTGGGCGAATTTTTATGTTCACCCTTCAAACTTGCTAAACTAACCCCTTAACTACAGAGGTTTGTTTCTAATTACGTTCAATAGGGAGTACTTTCTGTAACGAGTGTCACAGTCGCACTCACTCAAGGTCCTGTTTAGCAGGTACGTAACGCTCTGATCGTCATTGACGTTTGTAAGTATGGTGTGTAAGAAGATACCATGACTACGGGGATTACCATGATAACGTTTGTTTTCTGGATTGTTGATGGATGTGCAGGCAGTTTCCGGACCTTTGATCTTTTCGTCGCGAAATCATATGTATGCTTCTTTTGGCCAGGGTTGTAGCCCCTTTCCTGCTCTTGTTTGCAGTACTGGTAATAGTTCTACTAATACCACTAATGTCTCTCAAGTTTGCTAGATGTCCTGGCTGGACGCAAAAACCCCCAGCAACTTTCCGGCTACGTTTTACTGGATGGAGAACGCCCTCGAGCCAACGTTCATCGCCATCTTTGTGGATACGTTGTACAGGTACAAGGTTCACTGATTTACTTGAACCAGATAAACTACAGCTTTTCGTGTTCATGCTCTATATTCTATTGTGACCACTTGTTTTTTTCGGTGGGTCGTTTTGTTCCAGAATGAACACTTTATATCTGTTGGGAATTTGTACGTCTCCTGTCGAGGTTTCCTGTCTGTTTCTATTCCTCTTCCGCTACTCATCATAGCTCAATCATTTTACTGGGTCTTTTCGGCTCACCCTCACATCTTCCGTTCGCATACCTCACGATCCTCCCTGTAACTAACCCTATCGCCACCACAGCACCATGTCTGCGCACGGCTTCTACAGAGATTAGGCCATTCTTTCCCCACAAAACGACTGCCGCTGACTTTCCTGTAGGGGGAGAATTGACAGGACCGAACAAAATCAGTCATGCATTCGAAAACTTTTCGTTACTCGGGACTTAGTTATGATAATCGACAGGTCCAATTCACGGGTCTCCGCCTATTATTCTATTATTTCTGAACCGTTTTCTAGTAAGTTTACGGAACTATCCCTTCAAGATAAACGATACAGACATTCGCACAGGTTGCCTAATGTTGTTTTCGCAATGGCAAGTTTTCAGTCCACTTCATATTTACTGAATTATACGCGTCATCTGCGGTCTGAACTCGTTGATCGGAGCTAACGCATTACAAAGTGGTTGCTACCCTTGGTTTCACTGCCATACCGCTAACCACCCTTTATCCACTGTCTCACGCTGTCAGTTACGTGGTCAGCGTGTGTTTGCATGAGTGTCTGAAGTTCAACAAAACGAAGACGGAAGCCACAAGTGGTCATTCCTCATGGGCTCCTGAATATCGTAAAATGCAGGCTTGTGCTTCTATCTGTTCTTCCTAAGAACATGGGGTACAACAATTCCGATTGAGACTCACAGTTGGTCGCATTGGTGCAGTATGGTAAAACTGGGTCAGGTAGGAGCGTCCCCTTCCTGTATGGTTCGTTACAAGATGAACCTATCATGGTCCCTGAAGTTGTCACATCCATCAGGTCTGCGAAGAAATAAGGTCCACTTAGATCACATTGGGCATTGCCGGGGGCACCCGGATGACGGGAACAATCCACAATAGGTGCTGCTTCAGCGACACCGGAGATTAGTCAACAGAAATAAACTCTTCGCTCCTGAAAACTCACGTTTTGCTAAGCCAAATCACTGTTTTCTTTCGATGTGCCAACAATCTTCCTAAATTTTGTGGCGGATCTACCATTGATCGTCCGTATTCGGTTGGCTGTAGTCGGTTCAGCTTCAGATTAGTTCTTTAGTTGCTTGTGTCAGATAGCTGTTGTTTTTTGCAGTAAGCCCATCGCTTATCTGCGTCGCTTACTAAAAACAATTAGTAATATAGGGGTGTTTGGGGGTTTTTTCAACCGATATTTTCACCCCTTATTTTATGCCAATCTCTCGCCGGGTGAGGTCACTCAGTGGTTAGAGCGCGAATTTAATAGCCGGAACGTCCGTGGTTCGAACCCGACCCGAGCATCTTGACTTCCCCTGTCTAGGCTTGGGCAACCTGGCACTATCCCAGCCCTAGTGCTTCCTTCGGGTAGCATGACAGCTAGGCCCTTAAAGGGTGCTACAGCTGAACATTCGCCAAAAATCCGTGAAGTACTGTTCGGCTGTTTCATTCTGAAAATTAATCCCACTTGTTGTTGGCTAGAAAGTTGAACCATGATTTTCTCGAAAATACTTCGAGCTAAAAAGGTAAAGTTTAACATCGTAAATTTTTTTACTGAGCCTTCAATGGCTTTATCCCGTTAGGTTTATGCAGCCCTCATTTATGGACTATGCTCAGATAAAACAATTAGTGAGGTTCGTGGTTCGAACCTGCCCTCTACCTCTCGACTTCCTCCGTCTAGGCTTGGGCAACCTGGCAGTAACCCAGCCCTCGTACTTCCTTCTGGTGGCATGGCAGCTAGGCACCGAATGGGCGCTACAGCTGAACGAAATTAAATGACCCATGTAAAAATGGTGTGGATGTTTCAAAGAGGCTCCGAACCCTTTTGCACAGTGAGAACTTTTGACCACTTTAGACCACATCACACTCGAAGTAAAGACTACCATCACTGTAAAACCTCAGTCGATGCAAAAATCCTGTGCCGAAGACGCCCTTTATTAAGTAATGCAAGTAGGGACTTTGCTTGCTTTTCAACTATTTGAAACTTGCAGCTGGATTTGTTATGAAGGTTCGCGGACATTCGTCGTCAGTTTACCCTGACCTAGTCACCTTACCGAAAATCTACTTTAATATTATGATGAAGATGAACGATGTGTAATTGTGACTTGGACAACGTCTCTGGTAGTTCACCTAATAGGACACGCGGGGTTACTCGCTTCCAGTCTGATTCCAGTCCGTTCACACTGTGAGAATTTAATAATGAAGTAGGCCACCCTACTCCCAGTGCACTGTAGCAGCTAATGAACTTGTACCTAATGTGGCCTCACCATTTGTCAGCGGTGCCGGATGCGCTCAGATCAACACATTTTTTTATGGGATGCACTTTCTTTTCCCCGCAGGATAACATAGCCGTGGATACACTTACCGTTCGTGAGAACATTGCGTTCTCTGCTGCATTACGTCTACCGCGGAAGCTGACCTCGGAAGAAAGAAAGGCAAAAGTTGATGAAGTAATCGAGGAGTTGGGACTAACATCGGTGGCTGACCGGTTGGTAAGTTTGGCGTTCACGTGTTTCGTAGGAACACTGACTGAACAGGCGGATTCGACTTGCGTATGCGTCATCTTTTGGTTTGGAACGTTAACAGCTTGCGCTTTTTGCCATTCTGTTTCTGTTCTTTGAGACAGACGTAATCTACGTTCCATGGCGAGTAAGATAATCTGGTAGTGTCCCCTTACAGGAACATATGTTACCAAAATTGATTTGAATGCATCTCATGGTCACCCACTGAGTGTTCAGTGAAAGGTAATTGACATCCGTCTTTATACGCACTCTTTATTCACCTGTCACCTGTGACTTGATCCCCATTGTCAATTACACAGCAGTAGCATACACTATTGTGTGGCTGTCACTCATGGGGATGAAGTTTCGAAGTAGAAAGGGAAAAGTGAAGAGTTATTTATGCAGACTTCATAGTCGATCACCGTAACGAGGTGTAGAATCAGCAGCGACATCGTTAAAATCAACTTCTTCCGGATTTTTTGTACGACATTCTGGAGTCAGTACCCATTAACGATTTTCTGTCGAATCCTGATAGCGGAAGTATATTTATGTTTAACGAAATTCACTCATTGGGAAACAAACTTGGTGTTAACGAGAGACCCAATCGAACTACAGGCTGAAAGTCCCTTTTATGATATTCTCGATGTGTGTTTATATTCTCCATTTCTTCAATCATTTGTTTGATAGCGTCCTTCGTATTTACTACACCTTGTTGATATTCCTCCACGTATTATTTGTGCGATGCAGTGGCTGTTTCGAGATTTTGTCGCGAATATATCCAATAAGGCCTCCTTAGATTTGCTATAATCAGTACACCACTTGAAATCCAGTGACTATCCACTGATGATTTCGCCTCGTTTAGACATCTGTAAGTAGGCGTATTCCTTGTATTATGAAACGATCGCTCCATACATGTTAGATCAGCTGATAGTGGAACCTCGATGGAGTTATTCACTTCCAATACCATATTAACAGTAATTTGCACAATGTGCAGATTTCTCTGGGTTAATAGTTTCCTGCCTGTAACTAGAAATTTTTTAACGACAAGTAACTGAAGAAGCAACCGGTCTTTCGGCGCCTTTGAAATGCATTTCTTATTGTTTTATTCCATAATCTGACAGTTGAACTTAATCCGCAGTATTGAAGCAAGGCGCTATTGACAAGGCTTTCTACAAACAAATGGTGGACCAGTTTACTTGAGAACCTGCTGAAAATAGGTTGTGTATTGGGCTTTAGCCCAATCACATTATAGGGTATAGTTCAATACTTGTAAGGTGGTCTAGATTGGCATTATTTCTTGTTATATTTCCATCCTGGCGATCTACCATTCTTTTTGCCGCAATCCAAAGGCCTGAATCAAGCCCTGTTTCTTATGTGTAATCGGTCAAACCACTGTGACCGTTCCTCTTTCATTTGAGAACTGCAGCATATTTCCACATAGCTGTCAATTTTCATTTTTTCACACAGTTTTCTCCTCTAAATAGATTACCGTTCATAAGTTATCACCACGTGTCGGCCCCTGAAGGTTCCCTCAAAGTGGAGTTCTCAGAACTGTCCCCCTATTGGGGCGATCACCGTTTGTAGGCAACTGTAATTTCAGACAAATAAACTTTTCAGCTTTCATTGACGATTGTTTGATGTCATTTCTACTCAGGTGGCTGTCGATGATGATGATGATGATGACCTCCACGCAAAATTCACTACCTGACAAGGATGAAATACGAAAGACTAAGTGTAGTTGCAGATTACGGTGGAAGATTCGTATAATTATGTGAACACCATAAAAGATGGATTGGAATGCAGTAGTTGAATTGTGGTTTTCGCAAAATTTCTATGTCTCGATATTAAGCATACCTTTTTTCTTGTTTAGCTTGGTACAGCCTATGTGCGGGGCGTTTCTGGAGGAGAAAGGAAAAGAACCTGTATCGGAATCGAGCTGGTCAAGAATCCACTTGTACTCTATTTGGACGAACCAACTACTGGATTGGATGCGTATACAGCGGGTTCCGTGATGAAAACACTGAGACGGTATGTGTCCATCTGAGTTTTCCCTATCTATCCCGGTCCCTCGGATCGACATCGCGCGTAGCAAACACATCGGCTCATTTTGTACCACGTTCTACATAATCACACGTGATAAGGCGCGTTTACGGTGCGGTGTGCGCTTCGATGCGACCAGACTGAATACCGAGACTGTTAAAACCATCCTGCGGGTTTTAATATGTTTTCTTTAGTGCAACTGCTTAAAAAGGCCGATTGTTCCTATTACTCAGTATGCCCCACGTGCAACATGTTACAGTACGCCTCTTCGCTAACCGGACTGCTTGAAACGACTCTTCCTAATACGAACTAAGGGCAAGGAGGAATGTCACCCTTCCGACCGAATTCAGTTGTCCTTCATGTCTTCAGAGAAGTTGATTTAGTGACAATCAAGACTGTCTTGGCGTTGTTAGGATAGATTCTCCTCAAGGGTGCATTTCGGCAGAAATGTTTGTTCCTCAACTGAGGTCTGTATTTCGAGTACAGGGTTCGTCTCTTCATTCTGAGTGAAAATTCCTCAATCAGATTATTTTTAGGCTGTGTTCCAAACGTACAGTCAGACAAGCCTCGGTTTCTAGTGTTACACCGTTTTGATAGAAAGTCTCCTTTGCGCTATATTCGTTAACTTTTGTGGCAGCCTTGATTACCAAGGCAAAGCTGAGGTGAATGTTCAGAAGCGCCTGGAGAGAATTCTTGCAGCCGGCACACGGGGAGGACGATGAAAGGAGGAAGAAAGGCAGTACAAACGGGAGATTCGGATGGATTCAGTTGATAAACCTGATAAGCCAGGTTTGTCTCAGAGTTTGGGATATTTCTTTAGCTATAAGTGCCTTGTCACCTTGCTTTTCCTAGGCGCACAACGCTTCGCGCTTTAATTAGAGCATTTACTTTTAGTGTCTGGACAGGATTCAGATTTAGACGCCATCCTCACACTCCAAGGTACTGAGGTCTTCTGTCGGCAACACTCATCTTTTGAGTGCTCCCTTCATTTTTATCCTCATTCCTAAGTCGGTGTCTTGTCGAGCTTTGCAATGAAGAATTGACTACAAAGAAGCCAGCTTTGTTGTTGAATTCCTCGTTCGCCTTATCTAGTGAGTGCTCCTGCGTCGCAGAAATGCCTCAGTATATTGAAAATTTACCTCATGGTCGTATATCTTTGTCGTTCTTATTATTGAATCAGCAACTGTCAACGAAACCTACCGCCTCATTCGCTCTCGTACACACTTTCTTGTAAGATACGGTGCAAACCAAACCAGATAGTCGCAGATGCAGTGACATCTACCAGTTCTTTTTGTGCATGCCAACTTCCAAACCTGTTATATTGCTTGTCCACGTGGACCTTTTTGTTTTTCCAAATGCGTGATCCCATCTCAATTCACTTTTTGCCATTTAATTATCAGTTTTCTGCAACCCATTCTATCTTTTCATTCTATCCTTTTACTTAAAGCTTGGCTGATTGTGGGCGAACCATTGTGTTTTCCATTCACCAACCGAAGTATTCAATCTATCGTCTGTTCGATCGGCTCACACTTCTTTGCAACGGTAAAATGGTCTACCACGGTCCGTCTGGACAAGTCCCGATTCAGTACTTCCGCAGACTAGGTGGGTGTTCGAACCATTCTTTGCGGAACTTTTCCTAGCTTACTGTATTCATCCACTTCCCTTGGTATTTGTTGTCGAATTGATATGAATGTCAGTCGTAGTGCAATAGATTTCATATTCCACCCATCATTTCGTTCACATGCCATTCCTGTGAAAACGATCGGGACGTTTGGGGTTGTCTACCAAAGTGTTTTCGCTCACACATTTTACTGGTTTTGTGCTGCCACACTGCTTATAGTGGGTTGCGCTCTTTGCAAGCGAGAATAGTTATTGGAGCACGCGAAAATTCCACGAGTAATGTGTGATTCTTGACTATGTCGGTTGAATTCTTACAAAAAGGTTTCTATACGAATTACCGAAGTATTCTGTAAGACAGAGAGCCTGTCTCCCAGTGTGTGGTACACCACTTTAATACTTATCGTACTCTTTTGTATGGTGCTTGTTACGACACACCGCAAGACATCGTAGAAGACACATATGCACTTCGTTAATTGATTGATCATACAATAGGTACGCTCACGTGATATGCTTAATCTTGCATAGTGTATCAGCAAGCACCGAATGTGTGACAGTAACAGACTTCCCAGGTTTAGGTACAATGGGTGTCAGAACAGTCTTTACCCTAGACCAACTTCCATTGTAGTAGAACGAAATGTTGCAACTACAGAAATGTAAATTTACTAGTTACGATAGTTGGGAATTTCGGGTCGCACATCTTATGGGTTCAAGTCATAGCAGTGCCCCAGGTTTCATAAAGCTTCATATTGGGTTGAAGCGGTCCAACTGCTGTTCCAGATTATCTTTTGATCAAGGTCAATCGATTGCGCTACAGCCTCCTAGCTGGTGGTGCTCTCAAGTGAAGCTTTCCTTTGGACACCTAAATACCACTTTTTTAAAACCCAAACTACAGTCCAAAAGGCCGATAGTTCTTACTGCATCCTGTTTCTGACCTGTGATTCCTGTACCCTACTCAATCCCGGAAGCAAGCAGTTCTTTTTCGTTCATGTCAACATAACCGATGCGTGCTTAGCTCGGACGCTCAGTTAAGCGCACAAAAAGGTTCATCACGAACTGTTATATACATGTACTTCCGTACCTAAAAACAATTTGTAAATTCCTTGAATGGTTTCAGCATTCAACCCAGGGTATTCGCTACTGCCTGCAATGTTTTCCGTACCTGTGACGTAAAAATCACCGGAGGCTGCTATCCATGGGCAGTTATTGTTTATAACCGTAAATCTCATTGCACTGACTCCCCACGATGGCTCGTCTGGCATAACTCGAGATCACAAGTTCGAATCAGGTTTCCCTTTTTAATATACTGGAATGTTCTGCCTCAGACATGAATCCACCAGTTGCTCTGAAGTAGAAGTTGCTCTGAAGTTCTTTATGTGTCTCGGTGTCCATCATATCTGCGTAAGCTTCCTCCAGGTGGCATGGCATCTAGGCACCAGAAGGGGGCTACAGCTGAATGTTTTATTTTTCTCAGAGCTGTGTTAGGAGTCACGTGGCAGTGTGTGCACCATCTTTTTCTTGGATCAAGCTGATCACCTCCTAATGAAAGTGTTCTTAACCCTATGGGCTTCAGTATTATGACGAATACTCCGTGAACACGATTTCGTTGTGATCATACTTCACATATTACGCGTTTGCCGTAAAATTTTCCGATCTAGGTGGTCCATCCAGACTAGATTCTGCGTCGAATTCGTTGAAAATTCGGTTGCGTGAGACAAGTGCTTCTAGCTTTCCACGGCCTTCACAGAGAGCCTGGTAACTGCCAAGGTGTGGAATGTACAGCTGGTTCGATCGGTTCAACACGCTTTTCCTCAGTAGTTAAGATTCTCCAGGTGGACGCAACAGAATTGACTGATGTTCAATATCAAGTTTCACATTCTTAATCTAATCACCCTGAGGCTGTAGTCCTCAATTCCGCTCATGTCATATGTGGTCGAAGTGGTTAACTTGAGTCACAATCTTGAAAACTTACGAATGACTACGTGTCTATTCACAAGTACAGCGCTGTTTTTATATAAGAAACAGCATCGGAGATGAGCGAAAGCGTTTCTATCTTGCAGTTCACCATTCGCTTCGGTAACGCATTGAAGTATTGGTGGCTCGGGCGTGTTTACCGTTGGTTGTTCAGGTGACTGTTGATCTGTTCGTCGAGCCTGGCAGTCAAATTGCTAGTAAGTAGTTAATTGTCGAGCTCGGTGAATAGATCAACTAGATTGCATGTTTTTAATAACAAGACTTTCCATCATCAACATCGACAAATTTTTTATCCGCATCATTTTACGCGCGTAGTATCTTGTACGGGTGGCACATTTCCATCTTTTCATGGAGTTCTGTTTCGCATTTCAATTGCAAAAACTGACTCGTCTTTCTGCTCAACGAATTGCAGGTTACGTTATTGAAGGCTACAACAAACTGGATTGCATGTTTTTAATAACAAGACTTTCCATCATCAACATCGACAAATTTTTTATCCGCATCATTTTACGCGCGTAGTATCTTGTACGGGTGGCACATTTCCATCTTTTCATGGAGTTCTGTTTCGCATTTCAATTGCAAAAACTGACTCGTCTTTCTGCTCAACGAATTGCAGGTTACGTTATTGAAGGCTACAACAATCCGGCTGATTTCTTGATGGATACGCTGCATGGCGAAGTGGCCGCTAGTAGCTCAGACGAGGACAGTCGTGCATCGCCTCATGCAGGTATGGGTCCTATCACTATGTTTTGCGTGATGACAAATTTACACTTTGACGCGCACGTGGAAATCGTTCACTCCCCACTCCACAAACCAGCATCAAGTAAACCGTTTTGAAGGTGCTTAATATTTAATATAACACGAACCGGAGCCTTTACCACAGGGTGGGATAATTTCGATAGCAGTTTAGCTACTCTCGTGCCTCCCTACATGTGTCCTTCATTTGATCAACTCAATTTCTCTAGTAATCAGTGGGTTTAGGATGCTCTTCCGTTTCCTAGGTCGCCCTGAGCCGCTAGGTGTGTTTCCGCCATCGTTATTCAAAGACGATGTTGAGTCCTTATCTTTCTGAGGCAGGATCGATCGTTTCAGCAACACCATGCATACCGCAGTTTTCGTCGAATTTCAAAGTGCTCTCAATGTGGCTGTTAGATGGCCCGTCTGCTTGTGCTTGTCTATAGGAAATCGCTGGTTGCGCCCTTCATTCCCGTGCTTATGGAATCATTAGGGCTTACAATGAACTGTCCAAAAATCCCTCCTGAAACTAGTGGGTTTCATCAATTTTCTGCTCTCCTCCGTTCATTTCTCTTATCTATGCAACCAAAGAATGCGCACGTCAGAAGAACTGAACCTAGATATCGAAGTACCATTTGAAAAATGCTTTATTGTTTAACACTCTTGTATGTACACCAGTCAGAGAATTCGCGCTCTAATTACTATGCCATCTCGCTCCTAATTGGACAAGTGATAGCGTACGGTGGTTAATTAACGTCCTCCCTTGGAATCTTGCAGCCATGGAAATTAACAGCCAATCTCCGACTGACCTTGTCGACCGGTTCGTGGATTTTTGGATCCGCTCTGAATTGTATCGAAGGTGAGGTACCATCTCACTTGGTCATTGTTGATAATGCGTATTTCGAGTCGCACGAATCGCTGTGATTTTTTCACATATAGCTTTTATGCTGGCGCAAACGGTGAAAATCAGTCGCGCTCATTTTCCGACATCACTGAATCCGGACATCCTCAAATCCTTTTTGAGCTGCATCTCTCCACAGGGATTTATTGTCACGGTTATGCCAAGCGAGCAGTAGATTTGCAGCGACATGGAAAGCTACCATAACCATTCTTGTTATAATCAATACAACTTGTCGGTCGACACGCCTAGAGGCATAAGCAATTTCCTTGAGTGCTGGGGTCGTCAGCTTCGAATGTAGCTCTCTTGTTTTTCATGCCACTGGTGATGAGATGATTCAGAAGTGGTAACAATAATGCGCTTTTTTGTTCAGTCACTCATCTTCATGTTCCTCACAATCTAACCGGCTTAGCTTTCGAAAGTTTAGTTTCCTTTGTTACTCAATTTTCCCCTCTTTTCCAAAATTTCGAGTACGAGCTATCTGCTGACAAACTTTTGTTAATAACTGGACTATTTGCGTAAGGGAATTTCATACTATCCCCTTGTGAATTACTTACCGAGTGACCTGATGCCGTTACTTCGGCCTATCCCCAAGGAAAGGGAAACACATTACTGGAGTTTGGCTCTTATTTTTTTTGCACCAGGTGTCAGGCCATGGTGACAGAAATCGCTCGAAGGTACGAAGCCCGACTTCTCGATACGCATGCAGTGGACTCATCTACCGGATACACTGGCCCCAACCGGAAGACGTATGATCGTATTACATCTGCGGGGAGCCATCGACGAGGCTCCATTGAATCAGCTTGTGGACCACTCGCTGTTGCTGACTCTGCTTCAGACGCTAGTTCAAAGTAGGTTTCCCCCACTGTCTTAGCTTCCCCTCTTTTCTGTCGGAAATGCACTGTTATTCTGGGGTCCTTTGGTTACAGAATCGTGCTCTCCAGGTTTTAGGCTATACCTATGGTTGAATAACTCAGGCGAGTTATTAAGTTTTAGTTCACGAGTTGGTTAGTTCTGTGGAATTCCTGGTCACTGCTGGGATTTTTTGAGGTGTCAGTCGCATCAACCACTCCATTGTTTGCCCTTCTTTGTTCGGTCTACTGGTTGTTCGTTTTCTTCATTAAAGTTGGAGCCACCACGCTCAAACTGGAGCGTCTGGGGCTGTTTCTTTCGGCGCTTAGTCCAGATTGAACAGAAGCTCGTGATCTTAGCCTGAAGTAGAGTGAGCTGTTTTCACCGATCGCATAAGTATTGCGTCAGGTAAGCGCATCGTTGTGCGGGCACTGTGTTTTGGTCCTACAATGAATCGTTTACTGGACAGAACACACGAACTTTGTCCCTCTTTGTCGACTTTTCGGAACTACGGGTTCATCTCAAGTGCAGTCGCTCTGCACCTAGCTGAAGCCATTCACATAAGAGATAATGATCGGGCGTCTCCCATCAGCTGCCGTTGCCCATCGGTGGATCGCAATCTCTCTCCGAAATCCTGATCCTTGCATTCAATGGGATTCGTGCAAGCTTTGGAGTTAGGCCTGCCTACAGTTTTCCTATCAGCCCTTTCTGACTGGCCTGACGCGTTAAACTTTGGGCCTTCTGTTCCGTCCTTTGTAGGTAATTCAGTGAACGTATTAGCCAGATACTGCATCGTACAAAACAGGTCTTGTTTCCTACACTACTTCTAATGCCTTCTGCGAAACCATCTGATCACTGCTTCTCTGAAACCGTGGTGCGTGTTAAACCACAACATACACTACTCATAGAGTTACTGGAAACTTCACCAACCCACCATCGCTGTTGTAAGTTACCTAGTTAATCGGAGGTTTCAGTTGATTACTCATTATTCCTGTTCGTCTTACAAATCAGAGCTCTAACTGCCTAAAGGCACCTAGATCTGCAAATGTTCTGGCCACCGCTTGTCATGTAGAGATAGATAGAAGTTACGGTATAACTCTGTTCCATGGATATACGCTTCTAAATGGGAACAATAGGATGGATACAAATTCTTGCGACCGTAGGTGTTGTTTTGCTTGTTTCTACGATTCTTTATGTTAAAGTCCGAAGAAATTCATTGAACCTATCCCATCCTTGTGTTTCATAGCCACTTTTCGGATTTACGCCTGAATAGCGCAGCAGACTTTTCCTCTAGAAAGTTCACACACCCAGAAACTATTTCTGACGGTGCCGTTCGAGTTGCACCTGATTTGCCGGACAAAATAAATTTGTCTCACTCACGTATACGAACACGGTACGTAGACTCTGTGAGTGCTTCTGGGGAGGACAGACACATGCTCGAACGACTGCAAAATGTTTCACCCAGTGCGACTGATGAAGAAATACCTAAAAATCTGGGTCTTCCATCCTACCATCGCCGCCGTCATTACAAGCGCTTTCGTTGCGGTTCCGGTTGTTCTGTTAGACAAGATAATCATCCAGAATCTTCTGTGAACCTTCGTTTCAAAGATGGTCCATATTCCGCCTCGTTTTGCCGACAGCTAGTACTGCTGATTCGCCGTCAGTGCCTAAGCATGCTCAGGTAAGTCGCTTTACCATTTTTTTTAATAGCTTGGCTAGCCTATTTATGCTGTTTGGTCGATGAATATTTTGTTATGTATATTTGTTTTTGAAGGACTGATTGACTATCAACCTTCTCAAAATAGCTGGATCGATCCCACCTCTGCCTAGTCTCTTCTGAATACTCCTATTCTTAAACAATTTTGGTTAGTACCGGATTCAAGTTTTGCTGTGCTAAGAGCTCACCGGTAGTGCATATATCCTTGACCGTACCGAGGCTTGAAATCCGAGCATCTCTCGGCTAACTTAAATACACATTCGGCACACCTGAATCATAGCTGAAACAGACAAACTGTCCGCACCAAAGCAGTGTGAGTTTTTCGCCCGACTCCTCAAACAGTAATCTAGTGACCTTTATGGTTGTGTTCGTCGAGATGGCCCAAGTGGTTAGAGCGCGAATTTACTGACCAGAAGGTCCGCGGTTCGAATCCGACCTCCGCCACTCGACTTCCCTCTCTAGGCTTGGGCAACCTGGCAGTATCCCAGCCCTCGTGCTTCCTTCGGGTGGCATGGCAGCTAGGCACTGGAAGGGTGCTACAGCTGAACGCTTCGTCGATTGATCGGCATTGCGGATGCATTTCGATCACTTCACCTGATTCCCCATACGAACATCTTTTAGCTAATAATCGAGGGTTCTCTTTGCCAAATGGGTCATTTTTTTGACCTCAGTCAACTTCACCTCGAGAGCAGTGGAATTAACAATGTGGTATTGTTCAGAAACCGATCCCATCAACCTCTAAATCGAAGTTGATTGGATTAGAACTAAAAATGTTTCCGTGGTGAGTTTCTTCGTATTAGGCGTGGATTGATCAGAATATCCTATCGATAATTTTGGAAGCACCGCTGATGAAAAATTCCAGTAACAATTGAAATGAAAACTAGGGTCACAGGGGAACTATCAAGTGGCCGAAGATGCTGACAAGTGACTTGTAAATTGTCACTTTTCCATTGAAGATAATTTTTCAAATTTTCCCATGAAGAATTGTTCGAGTAGGTGTTGATTTTTAGATGAAAACAAGGTTAACTCTGCTACTGCATCCTCAGGGTAACCAATGAGTAACCGGAAATTTGTCAGCTGCGCAGTGTCTCGACTGGTGTGTATAGGTGCGCAGTTTTTCGTGTCACCGTTGCCTGGACTGTTTCTGGATCTGGTCAAATGGCTTACAGGATATCCAACTATCGCCTGACCATCCCTGCCTCCACTGATACTGTCGCCATTCTCATTAGTCGTTGTATTGCTCAGGTATTCGTGCGACGCATTCAAATAATGTTTTATTGAAAAACCTGCACACAAGCACTGTTCCTTACAGAACAGAAGCAGACAACAAAACCAGCCAGTTCTTTCCTTCATCCTGCCACACCGTTGTCGATTTGCCTTTAACAAACCGCAACGCTGTTCTATCGTCCTTCTAATAAACCCGAATTGGAGAAGATTCTCTTTTGTTAAGACACACACCACACTCCAGCAGCTTTTGATTGTCGCTCCTGCATCCCTCAACCGCGCCCTCAGACTTAAATTATTGGCAATTTCTATGCTACTGTGAATGCGCGAAGTAATGTGTGTATGGTAGAATAACTCAGTGATAACATGCCGAAAGTGATTACTGGACATGTCAGGTGTTCTTCACGAGTGGGATAATCAAACTTGTGAAAGAAGTCAAACCGACTGTTACAATGATAAAGACGTGATTTGCTTGGTCAAGGAGATATTCCCGATTTTTCGGTTTGAATGTAAACCCAACACACCCAGCATCTAACTGGTTCGATTATTGATAAGTTCTGACTAGACAGCTGACGTCGTCAGACCTCCTCGGTTAACCCACGCAGATTTTGTGTGCCTCCAAAGTATATATATGTATATATCGAAATTCCTGTTTCCAATGGTTGGGCCTCAAAAAACAGGATCCCTGGTTCTCTGCTAGGGTTCCCGGAGCTGTGGCTAAATATCTCCCTAGGTTTTCATAGTCGGATGCGTTTTTAGGCGGAAGGCGAGCATGTCACCTCAGTTACCTATAGGGTTTCCCAGTGTAAACAGCATTGTGATTTTGCGCACTCTCAGTTTGATCTGTGAAAGTGGGATCCTCAGGGTTGATGGTGTATGCGCCCCAACTGAAACAGCTGTCTCTCCACATCTGCCGTCTAGTGCATAATCAAACCAGCTCGATGCGTCATGTGTTGGGTTCGGTCTCAAACCGCAAAATAGGGCATATCCCTCCCGGACCAATCAACTCCTGTCTTTATGGTGGTAAATGTCGATTTGACCTACTTCCCCTTGCTTTCCGTCCTTCTGACTATTCCATTCCTGGAGATCACTCGCGGTGCTCGAAACCCTAGCATATTATCGTTGTTTGTCTACCGTAATCCAACCAGACTAAATGCCCTATGGGACCGTCAATCCGACTTCGTTTGCACCAAATTCGACACGTCTTCTCAATATGCCTATTGGAATTATCTCGTCTGTCGCCGCTCACTATATCTTAATGTTGGCTGCAGACCGCATTTTCTGTAATTCAGTTTATTTAGTACGGGACGTGCAGTCGCCTGCCAGGGTTTCTCGAGGACGTACATTCCTGAGAAACACCGGCTTGTTTGCTTCTGCTAGAGGATACGGACAAAATGTCGTATTTCTTTGAAGCTGGTGAATAGTTCCATTAACGAAGACGTACCGGAGTTCAACTTGGAATCTTATGTCTGCATTCCCCTTGAAAATTGATACATTATTCGCGTGCGTATTTGAATAACATTGTTGTGATTCATTATCCGTGGAGTAGTACTTAATGGGGTTGTTTAAATGCCTCTCTGCACATTTAATCTCATTTCAGTCCTTCGTTTACTATCCGACAAATAAATATGGTTATTTAGTTCGCCCTCATTCTACGTCTCGATGTCACAGAAATTTATGGAGAAGAATAAAACTCGTATAAGAGCATCAGGACCCTTGTGCTTTGAGAAGATGTTAGTTACACATGTTGTCCTTTTGGTGGTGAACGCTCAATTCCTCAGTACGAATGGATGTTAATACAGAAGTCTTCCGAGTGGAACTACTTCTGTAGAAGCAAACCACATAACCTTCACAGTACCGTCCCTCCTTAGCCACTACCTGTTTCCTGAACTTCGAGAGTCAGTTTTTTTGCAACGGTGTTTCACCTTATTTTGATGGTTTTGTTTGATGATGCGGTACTCTCGCATGATTGACCCACCCACCGAGGGGTGGGTGGTCTCATAGACAGCCCACCTCAACGATCCAAGCCACGTTCATTCAAGAAATGTCGGAACCCTCTTAAATTGTGGTGGTTCATCTTGAAGACGTTAATTTATACAAAATTTCCTTCCTTCCCACTACTGATCGAGGAGTTTTCTTCTTGAGTTTCACCCACGAATCCTATGTTAAGCAGGTTGAGGGTTCAAAAATCATTGTCTGAGCTACTACTGAAACAACTACTATACCCAGCATTAATCGTGCTGACTGCGTAATTCGTAAAGCTATGTTTAGTGGACTCGTTTTCAACAGGAAATGAGACATTTCTGGCTTCAGTAGAGCTACTTTAGACCACTGATAAACATTACTATGGAGAGGATACATCTACAGAGCCCACAGAATCTGGCCATGAAGCTATTGCAACTGAAGTTAGGTGAACAAGGAAGAACCTCAATGCTAAAAAAACAGGCTAACATACCACATATTGGCCGCAAGCCATGCTCGTGAACCACGTTCTTTATATCCCCGGAAATACTGTCAGTATATAACTACATTTCTGTTTAGCCCAGAGTCGTCTTATTGACAATCCCATTAATGGCAAAACAGTTTTTTTCTGATTTATTTTGATGGCCCTCTGCCTCCGTTTCATCATAACTGGCAGATGTTAGTGTAAGAGTTTTGCCATGTTTCACAATTCCTAATCCGGTCGGATTCGGGATCTTAATTCGTTCTATTTTTTTCACCCACCCACAGGGATTACCATTCAATGTTTTCCCACTTTCTCATACAATTTATAATCGCCGTCTTTTTCGGTACGATCTACTACGATTTGGACAAAAGTGCCGAATCAGGAATACAAAACAGAACCGGGTTATTTTTCTTCACTTGCATTCAACTTCTGTTCATTAACGGCTCACTGGTTGATGCGTTTCTCAGAGATCGTCTCATATTCCGGTAAGTGATATACATATTTCTTTTGGTTGGGGCTTGCTGTGGAGAATGCCTTCCTTTACATGACCACCTCGATTTGCAATAGTATTCTTTTTTTCTCGGAGACTTCGACACTTGGTCAACACGATGTACAAGACCTTCGAGCAAAGAAGGGCAATAGAGGTACAGGGGTGCAGTACAACTGTACAATTCGGGCCCCATCTTCGCCGTGCTGTTTTTCATCTGAGTGACTGGCTGCCCCCTAAAAACTCCCTACACAAGCTGTCCACTTTTGGACTACAGTAACATTTCCAAACCAGAGAGGACTTGTGGAAACAGTAGGTCTTGAAGCAGTAGACCACTTGATGCTTAGAAACAATCTAATCTGAACGCTGTGATGATTGAAAAGTGACAAGCTGTGCAACACACCCGACGTGCACGTCTAGGATCGGCGCAGACAACCAGACGGACGAAGTTAAGAGCACTAGTTCATGACCCTTTGGTATTTTGTCTGTCCTGAGAGAAAATGTCCCAAACAGGTCGCGCATATTTGGCATATGTTCGTATGTTTCTCATATGTGTCTCATTCGACTATCGAACGAAATTTAATCCAGGTAGCATGGCGCATCGCTCGTCTGCACAATCATGAAACGGGTGGACACTTGCGCTTGCATGTGAAACTGTTTGGTCTCAAACGATTCAATTTGTAATTTTTGTCGAAAGTTTTTGCCCCACCACCTGTTTATGTCAAAACGTTTCACATCTTTCGTATAACTTCTGGATTGATTTCGGGAGTCGACCCAGCTGATGAATGACCCGAAGGCTGTTGAATTTTTGGCATGCAGTCCAAAGCATCCCAACGCTCCGGGACGTCTAAGTTTTATGTAGAGGTCTCTTTCTGTACTTGCTGGGACACCTAAACCTTTACGTCTGATAGTCTCCATAAATTTGACGAAACATCCTGTGCATAATATTGGGACTTATCAACAGAAAAATGATTCGGTCCATGCAATTTTTCTCGCCTAAAACTGTTAATTTTTCGTGCGGATATAAAGAATGGATTTTGGTTTCGTCTGTCCATCTAATGTAAACTGACCCCATAAGTGATAAAAACGCGTCCAAAAAAATTGCCAATTTTATCAAACTTTCAAAGGTTAAAAAGGTTGAGAGATAGTTTCAAAGGTTAACACAGTCGAGAGGTAGTGTGGAATGTCTTGCCATTTTTCGTCAATTCCATGTACGGTTGTTTAAATCCAGGAATACGTATAAACAAATAAAATCACTCCCCACTCGAAACTCGAGGGCGATCGCAGCTCGTAGTTACCAAAAGTGAGTAACATGGCTTGAGAATTTAATTGAACTCCGTTTGTATTGACAACAGAGGAAGTTTATGGACATTGTAGCAATGGATCCTTCGAACTTCCAACGGGATTGTATTTACCCAGTTTTAACTGCTCGATTCTTACCTTCGCTCATTTCTTCTATCCTACTGCCTTATACAGGCTTGTCATCTGCAAATGAGACGAAGAGTATCCGATTGTGGTCAAACTCCGTTCGATTTAAACCCTAAATTTTGCTCATTTCTAGGGGATAACGTATTCTAATTCAGACGGTCTCGCTACTAGACCTCAGGCGTTCCGACCGGATTCGAATTCAGTTCAACTTCTTGACACTACGAAGCGGTGGATACATTTCGGTGGAACGGGCCGTGTGAATCACTGTTTTTTTCATCATGAAAGACCGATCTCATCCAGTTTCTTGGACAGTCACCAAATGACGACAGAAGGACTGTTCAGACTAAATTGTGTGAAACCAACTTCTATGAGACCCGGAAATGGACGTGGCCCATGGCCTTCCCCGAGAGAAACTATTTTCTGACGAACTGTAGGATATCTTTGTACTATCTAGGATATTCAGCGTTAATTGATCATAACGAAAACGAACTCGTGCCCGTTTTTTCGGGGGCTGATCAGCCAAGGTAATCACGTTAGGATTCAGGGAGGGAGTAGAGCATAAATATCAGGAAGGCGTCTCCTGAAGGTGGTAGGTATTGCGGGTCAAAGGCCTGTGCTTGGTAATTGTGTGCCACTGCGGAGGCAGTTCATAGTCTACATTTAGTTTGAAACTTCCCCCTCGTACATCGCGTGTGAAAGTCCTGCTTGTGGTTCAAATTCCAAAATGAAGTAAAACATTTTAGTTGGTGGTTGATCCGCAGAAAAAACGTCAGCTAGTTGACTTTTTTCTTGTTTGATGGGCTTACAACCATGAGTACGCGACAGTTCGCTCTATGGAGCCATGTCAGGGCGCTTTATTGTCTGTGGTCGTGAACCCATCGGTTTGGTGCGTGGAGATTTGCAAGCGAAGTCCAAAGGCATAGTTTTGATATTTGATATCATCCTCGATAGCTCAGCTTCCTTCATTGGTCTTTGGTCTGTGCTCTACCTAATTGGGCTTCTTACTCATCATTTAAAGTTGCTTGGGGTTCAATCACGTGGAAAATACTTGAAACCGATTGGGTAGTCATCGTTTTCGAAAAATTCCGGTGACAATCGGTAGATTTATTGCTGGGCAACGTTTCGCTTTTGACACACGTAATCTCAATGTACACAAACATCCCTAGGACAGATGCTCCAGAGGTAACTAGGAGGTTGTTACTGGCAGACACGACACTCGGGGAACAGACACAGCTCTCGGTGGATGAAATAGTTGAGGGCATAAGCGTGTGTTTGAACCTTGATAAGTTTATTTTTGACACAACTGTTTACTCACAAGAACAAGGCCTTGCAATGGAATCTGCAATATCCCCAGTTTTAGCCAATGTTTACATGGAGGACTTCGAACAAATAGCCTTGGCCGGATATCATTGTCCACTCAAAGTTTTTTGGCGTTATGTTGACGACACGTTTGTTGTAATCAAGAGATAACGTGAACCGCTTCCACGACTGTCTCAATAGTTTAAACCCACACATTAAGTTTAGCATGGAAATAGAGTCCACCTCGGGCACATTACCCTTTCTGGACTGTACAACACATAATCTTGGTGGGAAATTGAAAACGACTATCTACCAGAAACCAACAGACACGAGAACCGTCTTAAGCTATTCATCAGCACACCCAAAGTCCGTGTTCGCCCGCATTGTCTCATCGATGTTTCGTCGAGTTAGAGCGCTGTGCACAGAAGAGATCGACCGGACGGCAGCTCAAATCGAGATTGCCAACAAACTTCAAGAAATAGGATACCCAGTGAGTTTGATTAGGCGACAACTAAGGAAGATATTGGCTCCAGTATCTAGACCCAGTAAGGAATGGATTGGCACAGCAGTCATTCCATATAAAGCAGGAACATCGGAGGTTATTCGAAGATTGTTGAACTTAGCCAACATTCGAGTAGCTTTTCAGAAGGGAAAAACGCTACGCTCAGTTTTGGTGCAATTGAAAGATCCCCTGCCGGCTGAAAGGACTAGGGACTGTGTGTACAAAATTAACTGCAACGATTGCGCTAAGGTTTATATAGGACAAACTGCCAGGGAATTGCACACCAGAATTGGTGAGCATAAAAGAAGGATTAACAAACCACCAAGGAATGCAGAAGAATACCAAACGCTGGTCAAAGACTCAGCGATGGCGGTACATGCCTTAGACACGGGACATAGAATAGATCTGGAGAATGTGGAAGTTTTAAGACGGGGACTGCGATTCACACCACAGCGGCTGATAGCCGAGGCGGTGGAAATCGCTAAGCATCACAGCGTGAATAGGATCGAGGGTGTGGAGCTAGCGAGCGTATGGAAAGCGGTCTTAGATACGTGGTGTGTGTGACGGTGTTGTTGTCGATCCACTTAGGATCATTAGAAAAAACCGGGAGTGGGGTGAGGGTGGGAACCTCAACCGACTAAAGGTCACAGCATCCCTCTTACACAACTTTCTTAGCACTAGCTCACCCACACAGACTAACAGAAGGTTCAAACGAAGTTCAAGAGGAACCATCAAATGAACCGAACTAGAAGAACTAAACCCTAGGCTGGACCCAAACACATGTAGGTTTCCCCACCGACCCAACACTTGTTCGACCACTCTAACACACTAAAATCCCTCGGCCGACACCCAACAGAGCTTTAGCTTGACTTAGCTGATTGGTTCTCCTTCCGCCTTAAATATCGATCAACCTCGGAACCTAGTCACTTGGCCTGACGAAGCTTTTGTTTCAAAAGCGAAACGTTGCTCAGCAATAAATCTACCGATTGTCACCAAACTTTTTCGAAAACGTTGTTTGGGGTTAATTTAATGGCCAAAGGACGAGTATAGGTACGATATTTCGCTTTTTATTCAACTTACTGTGCATGCGATCAGTTTCTGGATTAGATGGGAGTTATCGCTGGTTTCTTATCGTATGTTGCTCACCCTTGATTACCGTATACATCTATTGTGTTCTGTCTACTATATACCCCTCCAGGCATGAAACCTCCGCTGGATTTTATCGCATTTCCACGTACTTCTTCGCAAAAATCATCACCGAGGTGCTTCCAGTTAAGGCGTTTCCTGCCTTCCTATTCTTACCCATCACCTACATCCTTGCCGGGCTACGACACACATGGAGGGCCTTTTTCTTTTGGGAGTTAACAGTTATTTTGCTCACAATCTCTGCATCAGGTGTCGCGTTTTCAGTCAGTACAATGGTCACGGACGTTCGATTGGGTTCCATGCTTCTGTCAATGTTTTTTGTACTTATGATGGTGAGTTGCTCGATCAGTATGCTCTTTTGAGCTGAGTTCGTATTTCTATCATTCAGGGCTTTTTCAGTCGCCTTAATTGTGTCGCTGAACCTTTAATTGGTGACTCTCACCCAAACCGGCAGTGAACCCCAATAAGGGAACACTTGCAATTTTGCAATGTTTTGTAGTAAAGGTCCTTCTAGCAAACAATAACCTAGCAAGATATACCTGTTGCGTAGGATAATTGTCCCGCTGGGCAGTAGTTTATTCATTTAATCCCCATCAAACTTCCAACTCATGTGACACATGTGGGAACAAAAATGATCGAACATACCAGAACGAGGGTTGTGTTTCTACAGTATACTTCAGAGCATTGCCTCCGGATTCTGTCGTTCCAAGATGGTATACAACCTTGTTTCCTTACTTGTTCCTTAATTGCCGCTTATTTTAAAATATCCGATAAATCTTGTTTAGCTACAGTGTGGTTGTCTAGAGCGTTAGAATGCTGAGGGTTCGGTCTTTTCGTTATTCAGAGTCCAATTAAAACACCAGGTTGGGCGTCATCGTGATTACAACCCGAGTTGATATTGCCTGTTCGAACCAACTGTGTTGTGCTGCGACGATTTTGTTGGACGCAACACTGGAACAACGACATCCGGCCGCACGGGATGGGTCACCGTTACTCCATCTAAATCTGTGCCCACAAGCGTACTGTCTTCCGCTACTGCTAGCCTAGAACCGCTAGAGCATGTATATGTCTACGATAGTAGTCATCAGTCGTTGAGCTGAAGCAACCTTTCGGTGCTCATCTGCCGTACCACGCGAAGGAATCACAAAGGCTGATATACTGCTAGTCTGTCCAAGCAGTAGAGATGCCAAGGTCGGGTTCGAACGAGTTCGCACCCTAACCACTGAGATCTCTCGGTAAGTATCCAGTGATTTGCGTCAACAAGGCAAGTTTGAAGAACGAAAGCTTTGACAAGCTGCTCGGTTCGGAATATTTCAATTCTAAGAAGTGGGTCGTATTCAAAGAGCGGTACTTTTGAGCAGTGAAAGCCTGACGAACTTCCCGTGGGCCAAGAAGGTCTCAAGTGGAAATATGTTTGAGCACATGTTTGTAATACGCCAATTATCCCCATCAAATCAGCACAGAGTATATGTACTCTAAAGCTGCAGGTACACACCAGATAGTGTATTACACATCGTTGCCTTGCCAATTGTCGTTTCGGCAACTAAGAGAAATTCAACCCAATTACTCTTGTTTCATCTTTCCCCACATCGCAATCATTGCTAATCTGAAAGCTGAACAACTCAGGTTCGGTATCCGAACTCCAAAAGGGATCGGTCAGCAAGCCGCTCTGACAAGAATGCCCCCATATGTGAAGGTTAATGAGCGCTTTTCCATCGGAAATCAAAAGCCTTTAAGACATCAGCCCGTTCCTCCGACGCAAATTTGAACCAACTCTGGTTGTACCAATAGGTCATAGTAAACGAAACCCGTAAACCATGATCCCTGACTAAAACAGCGCATCATCCGATGAGACCTCTGTAAAGGGGCTGGGGCAAGAACGGATGTATTCTTCGACCAGAAGAACAGACTTGTATAGCTGTACCTTCAGGGGACCCTACGAGGACTGGCTGTTGGGGTAATAAACAGCCAGGTTGTACTCGTCCATGTAATCACATGGACGTGTCCATAATCGCAGTACTATACTTTCGTATGTGGCCAATGTGTGACGATGGTGCAAGGTAAAACTGAAATCCAACTCGTTTGGACTAGTACGCAGATCTGAACTGGCAGTGTTTCTGATGGTAATAAGGGTAAGCGGAACGATTTCCTTCCACAACATACTTTCTTGGACACAAAAAAGCTTTACCGTCTTTACAGGGATGGGTCCTCCTGCAACTCTAGAAGGCGCCAGGATATGGGACTCCCGCGGTGCTAGTGAATGTTGACCATCCCCCAGAAGGGATTTTTTTTTCAGCCGTCGCGTGAATTAGATTGTGCGCCGTCACAATATGCCAAAGTCACTTGACGGTCGAAGGGGTCCAATCCGATCAGAAAGTTAATTGGAAACGTACCTCAGGAGCTTCCAACCTCCAAACCGTATTATGGAGGCATCGAAAGCGAGTACGGGCCTCTTTTTGAACGAATGCTTACTTCCAGCCAGAGGAATCCGCCTGTCGCAAGCGGTACGGGGCTTGCTAGATAATGTGATTCGTCGAAAACTTCACAACGAAAATGAGTCAGCATGTTCCTTTTCAAAGGTAGCAAAGGTATTCCTTTCGGAAGCCGATGTTCAGCGGTGGGCCCATATTCATTCTGTCTTTTTTTTCTCCCTTAGAAATGCTAACTAACTTTGAGGTGGAAAATCCGGACACTTGACAACCTATTCGTTTTCTCCTACTAACTTGTCAGAGATGCAAACTGGATGTTGAGTTGCTCTACCAAATTTGGGCCTGTTTCATAATCGGGCAGGTGAAATTGTGACAGCATCACAATAATTTCCTCTAGGAATGCTCCGACTAGGTATGATAAGCCTCCATAGAGGTAACGTAGCTTCTTTCCCACTCGGGAAAATAATCAGTTGTCCTTGTGCATCTTCATGGAACATTGAACTAAAGGTCACATTGGTAATGATTTCATAAATAAAGACACTAATTTATTCGATTGGAGATCGGGAGACTAAATAGATGTGACCATTACAAGCCGAACTGATAATTCGTGTACCAACGGCTGGACGAAATTAGCCTGTTACTATTCTCATGAATTCTGCTATTGTTCGGAGTATATTCCATTCGACCAAACGAAATCATTGTCTTCTATGTGTGGTTTTTTGAATGAAGCCCCTGAAATGACAGGCTATTGACCATGCAAAAAAACTGGGCCAACAATAACTTGCCGTATTGCTCCGCCCAGTTTTGTGCCCACGAACTAGAAAGAGTGGATATGTGCTACGAACGGAACTATTTTATTTGTCCTTACTTCAAGCGGGCGAGGTGGACCAAGTGGTTGGAGCGCGAATTTACTGCCCCGAAGGTCCGTGATTCGAACCCGACCCCTGCCTCTCGACTTCCCCTGTCTAGGCTTGGGCAACCCGGCAGTATCCCAGGCCTCGTGGCTCCTTCGTGTAGCATGGCAGCTAGGCACCGAAAGGGTGCTACAGCTGAACGATTGAACTTCAAGCACACTAGGAAATGTGGAGCTACAAGGTGAAAGACAGCAGGTAAACACACCAGTTCAGTTATTCAGAGCTTTAAGTTCACCGTCTCATCACTCTCGCTGTCCGAGTAATTGTGCTCTTCAATGGTTGCTTTTGAAGCGATCATGGTTCGCCATGTTAAGCTTCTTTCACTGTGTTCCAGCCACCTGGAGGACTTTTCGTCTTTGTTCGCATTAACACAGCGCATCGGTTGCGCTGAAAGACAGTGATCGTTAGTCACAAGCTCGTCGTTCTCTTAGGGGTTTCGAACAACAGACTTATGGATCCTATTGTTGATCAGATGTACTTCCGAGACGTTGTTTCACCGTGTATCGTGTTCCTCTTACCCCGATGGACAAACCCAATTCTGTGTGAAAAAGGAAATCCTCTTGCTGCGCCCGGAGTTGGTCGAACGGCACGCTGAACTAAACCAACTATTTTCTTTCATTTACAGAACAGGTTGTATTGTCACATTTATTTATGCTTCCCCGTCTTAAATATTTTATTTTCTTGCCTTTGCATCTCATTCCAGATCACTGGTGGTTTCCTCATCAACGTACTTTCCTTAGCGCCGTGGCTCAGTTGGCTGCGCTATCTATCTGTTCTTCGCCTCGCTATGAATGTGTTTATGATCAACGAACTGGTGGGCCTGGAGTTCTGCCCTTCAAACGATACCTTACACCATACTTTCTCTTCTGATACCAGTGGCTTTCCTTACAATCATTTGAATGCAAGCACTGCCGTGGAGTTGACCAACACGTCGAGTACCACTATCACTCCCATTTCTGCAGCACTTCCGTGGTAAGCAAAGTTTGTCTCACATGTTCTCGTTATACACGTTCCTAGCTACTGCGCTTAAGATCAGTGCAATTCATCTTATAGTGGTTTAACACAATTTCAGCCCTTCTCATGAAGTTCACAGTCGTTTGTCCATGCTGCCAACCCTACGAAAGCGTTTCTCGTCATTTACTGAATCCCGTACGGGCTGTGTTCAAACTTGATAACGTCCCCTAACAAAAGCACCTTCGAGTTTGGTTCTTTCAGTTGATTGTCGTGATTTACGACTATTCTTTGCAGTATACGATTGTATAGAATAACCAGATTTCATGGCTTCCGAATAACCTCTGATAAGTCTATTTTGCCAAGCAGTGAGGTAGGTTGTGTAGGAATCAATAGGAAACCAAATTAATTCAAAACAATGGAAACCTGGAAACCAACCAGGTATACATGGAAAGCCTTCTTTATTTTCCATTGTTTGTTTCCCAGAGATCAAGTTCGACACTAACTTCTGCATCAAATCCATCTAACCAGGTAATTTTTTTCTGTTTTTCTTGGTGTGACAGTATCCGGTGACCTGAAGGAATAATTTTCTAGCACATTTTCCTTAGGCAAACTCTGTTTCCAGCTAGATCTTGCAGAAAAAATCTGCAGCGATGAGACTCGAAGCATTATGCCCTCCCTCCAAGATAGAGCACTTTCAAAGTTTTCACGATTTTGGAGAGTCTTGAGCAGTGTAAATAATTTTCACAAACGAATGCATTTGGGAAACCTTAGATTACTTCATCTCTCAGATCAGACAACGTCGCGATTTCCGCAATTGTTTGTTGCTCAGTGAGATCACTGTAAATATTTTTTTGTCTTCTTATTCCCTCGAAGTAACCTACTAATTCACCCATGCTCTTTTCCTCTTCCATTGATAGTATTTTAGGTGAACAGTATTTGGAAACACAGGCGATCGAATACGATGGAGCAATGGCTGTTTGGCGAAATGAGATAGGCATCTTTGGAATATTTCTTTTGGCTCTGCTCAATGGTTATGTGTATCTGCGAATGATGCGGAAGTACACGTAACAACTACATTTCCACTCTTTGAGTTTCCTAATTCTCGTGAACAGGAGGTTTTCAAGTTCGAAGATGATGAACTCATTTTTTTACTAAACGTCTCCTTTTCCACTCCAGTATACCGGTTCCTTTGTGGAACTCTTTGAACCCGTTCTAACCATATCCCACAGCTAAGTGCTCTGATTTTACACTGTCTTCGACACCAGCGAATCTCAATTCGTCGAATACGTTTTTTATATCCTTGTGTTCAGCGCTTTCCAGATATGAACGATGCTCTGCTTTCATTTCTTCAGTTGTGATATCCGCAAATATTCACTGTCTTCATGACATTCGTCTCTTCTTCACTTCTCGAGCACTATTTTTTCTTCTTGTTTTGTAAATGACTTGGACAGACAGACAGATCTGATCATATCGGTGGTTTACTGACTGGACTTCGCAAATTTATAGCTTAGCATAATATAGTCTGGGTGGTTGTGAATGACTTGAGTACTTGTTTTCAGCTTCTTTTGCGGATGAATCTTGCACTCCTCATTTGCCCACATCTCGCAGAGAAGTGGTTAGGCAACATATGGGGGATACCAACAGACAGCGTTCCAAGTAAACGCTGCCCAAAAATCTTGGCTGACTTTGACACGCAGCTGATTAGGAACTCAGAAGATTAGTCCGTGGGCGGAAACCAACATATGACTAAGTAGTGTGGTAACTCCGCAAATTCGGATACGCAAATCAGGTTCACTGTCATTCACTTTCTTGAAGTAACGGACCCCAGCACTTATGAACCCATAGAAAGAATATGCCAACAGTTTTATCGTTTTTCTTCACTTCAGCTATGTTCAACCATATCATTGACTGGGTTCTGCCCCAGTTATTTCGTTGATGAGCTTTAGGAGACGTTTGTCTTGCAAAGTTTCCAGATGTTGGGCGCCAGGGAGTTCAGTGAGATTGACATTAGGCCATTTGTTGCACACCTGAAGACTGCGGAGGTTCACTGTCCCATCCCCATTTCCGTACACGTGAGTCGGGATTTGATCGGGAAACGGCTTGCGAAATATGCCCTGCGGTAAGTATACCACTTTCTCCAGTGTTTGTATCTGAGTCCCATAGACACAGTACACATTCTCCACATTTGTTGGCCCTTCGAGATAGTCAGATTGTTTGGGATTGTGAAGCCACATGTCATAGCCTGTTTGGAAAAGTTGGATGAAAAGCAAATTGTTGGAGGGTATCAGAAACAGTTCCTTCTTGTCAACACGTTGATAAAAGTGGTTGGTCTATACAACCAATTGAAAAATGTTTGGGACTGATTGAGTAGTCGTCATTTTAGAGAGGTTTGGTAAACAATCGGTGGATTTGCTGCTGAGCAAGTGAGTAAGTCACCGAGTTGATCGGGTGTTAAGGCAGTCAGGGAACCTATTCGTAATTTCCCGTTGAGTCGCTGATAAATCGACATTTCAAAGCCTTCTAAATCTGGGCACGATTCTGCACGATTTGTTCCAACCCTTACGTGCTGAAGCACAAAAATGTCTTTCCAAGCACCCCTTAATATAAAAAATCTTTCAGCTGATACACCTTTGCTGTGCCTAGCCATCCGAAGGAAGCACGAGGCCTGGGATACTGCCAGGTTGCTTAAGTCTAGACAGGGAAAGTCAAGAGGCAGTGGTCGGTTTCGACTCACGAACCTTCCGGTCAGTTAGTTTGCGCCTCTTAGGAAACAGTGGTGTGTTTTTATACACCAGAACCTCTGCTAATAAAAGCTCTATATTTAGCTCGATTGAAAACTGTCTCCTGTCGTTCAAATGGGGAATTTTACGTCACCTATATGAGCTAGTTCGATTTCGATTCTCTACTAATTTACGTGCAAATGTCCCGGACTCTATCTAAAAATGCATTTGTGGGGATTTGTTTTTCCTTCTTATCAGTCCTTCTAAAACTTCCCCTGAAAATTTGGCGCCAGTATAACTAGGAAACACACTGCTCCGTCTTGCCCTATGTGCGAACCTTGGTGTGGATTGAACAACTTCCTTCCTGAATCACTTCACTTTCACTAAGATTCAAGTTGTATACCGAGACATACTCACATGTGGGCAATACTAAGGCATATGAACATGGAAATTGACCACTCTTGGCCTTTGTGCCTCACTTAATACGCCAAAAAACTTAAGTTTTAATTGCTGCGCTAGCTCCAAGCCAGTGAATTCGTGCACCAAGTGCCGTGATTAATACGCGCGACGGTAAATTTGACATGTGACAACTATGATGCATTTTTAAACCAGTCCCACTTTACCCATACGTACGTGGGAAAAGCAGGTGAGTCACGTTAGGAACAATACTCGGAAATTTGGAAAACCGTTAGCAGACTGTAGGCAAAGTTTTGGGCGCTAGAAACACAACGAAAAATGAATCTGAGGATTGTGATTCAGATGGCAGTTCCGACACGACACGATTCATTTCACTTTGTCACATTCACAGGTAGGTTTCTTGAGCTGAGAACTAACAATACAATTTCACCGTTTGCAGAAAGAATTGTATGTGTTCGGTCGTTAGTGCTGGACCATGTAGTGCTCTGTTTATCAGCGTGAACTGCTTGACGCAGATCTTGTTCTGCTCTTGACGTTCTAAATGCCGTCGGAGACAGGTGGGCACAGATTCAGCCTATCTGTTTCCTCTGTGTAGTCTCCAACTGGGTGAAGATGCTGAAGGGATCGATTAAGGTGGACTCCTGTCATTGAATTAGATGGTCGTGACGTTGGGTTTGTCTACATCTGAATAGCACACCTTTCATGCATGACTGTCGAAATAAATCGAGTCATCCGAATCTTCAAAACGAACTTGGTGGTAATATATGTCATCAGAGACCGTTCAAAAGATCTGTAAGCTTTTGAGTAGGTTAGGGATACTGACAGTTCAATGCATTCACATTCATGCATCGAGAGTCAACTGGACGGTAAAATAAGTGGTGGCTTGGTTGCCACCACATCTCCATGATGTGTTCGGTAGTTCAAACCATATGAGCTCGCTTAAATTATTTGGTCAAGTCCCAAAAAGGGAATCACCCACGGCGCTAGGTGTTATCATCCCAAGCGCCTCTTCCGTGTTCTGCGGAGGGGAATAAATCCTAGGCAGTGAAAATACAGTTGTGAATTTTCTATAGCTCGAAGTGTTTTCTGAGACCAAACCAGCGTAACGTATAGTTAGGCTGTTTTTCTTGGTTCATTAATCGAATCGAGCTACCAGAACCATGGATTGAGGATACCGTTGATAGGACCGCAGATGTTCGTTTCGCTTCCATGGTTGATTTGTTTAATAGACAACCGGTGTTCGTCCGCGGTTGTAGAGTTTAACTTTAGTGATTTAGGATCCAACTCGCTTTTGAAAAATGCTGTGAGCAGTTAGTTTCGTTACTCCTGATCGGTTTGCCTGTCTACCTCCCGCAGATGCACACCAAGGCACTTGCTCAAATTCCAAACGTGTTCCATCAGGAAAGACGGTCCCGTACAGAACCTCTCTACCGGTAGTTGCTAGCCATGTGGTCGATTTGTGTCTCCCGACACATCGTTGGGGTGGTACCGAAAGCACACCTATGATTGCTGTCTGTTGAGTGTGCTAAATGCGTAGGTCACACCGATTCAGTGTGACTTATTGATCTCAACTCTCTGGTTAGCCGGTTGATTGAGGCAGGTAATCTCCACTCCGTCATGTCAACGTAACACGAAGTGCGTTCAAAGAAACTTTCGTTCATCACGTAAAAAGTTGAAGCCTCTCTGTGGAATCCATTTTGTACTGGTAGGCAGCGTAACTTCGATGGCGAACGTAGTGAGGAACAAACTTCCTACTGGGAACTGCGGGTGATTAGAAAAACGGAAGTCACTGATAGACAGTTGCTTTCAGGTCAGTGAGACGGAACTCAGTAAAGAACTCATAGTACAATGTTAAAATTGTACAGGTGTTTGTTACAAGTATGTATCACAGTCCATGAGAGCTGTTGGGGATTTGTGTCCAAAATCAGCAATAAAGAAAAAGACTACCTAGTAAGCTAGATTTCGCACTTTGAGTTTTGTTGTTGCAACCGAGCAAGAACTCAACATAGTCGGATGATTGAAGCTGATACGGAGGAAGATTACTTAAGGAGCAGTTTGACCATATTGATGTGTTCGTGAGAAGAAAACAAGCTTTGAAACTTCAACTACCATGCGCTTTGCCAAAACATCAGCACACTACTAAAAAAACGACGGTGTCTGTTTCACCCACTCAAAGACATGAAATGAAAGCTAGCAGAAATCGAACCTTGACTGCTGGTACAGCTTACCTTGTGGAAACCCAATGTCGATAAAAAGCTGTTGCACGTCGTTTGCAGTATAATTTCTCTCCGGTGTAGTAACTATCGGTTCGTTTGCCGGCCAAAACCTTGGGTCCGGAAGGAGAAATCCAACTGAAGGCAGTGTCCGGAAGAGATTACGCAGTTTAAATGGATTTGGAATGTGTAGAGGAAATGCCTCTCCTGGCAATATGAGAAATTGGGAAACGGTTTCAGAAGTCGGGTGATTGGAAAAGGATTCGTTTGGAAATACTTGACAGAAAAAATGCATTGTTCAGATCCGGGATAGATGAAAGCCGGTCTTCCCAAATCTGCTCTAGCTAAGGGTGGTTTCACTCTAATCAAATAATAGTAACAATGATTCATAACACTGGATTGTTTTGGGAACCAATTATGATTCGCTGCTGTTTCCCAGAGTCGCAGGGGTCTCACGACATGTACATTGGATAGGTGTATTCTGTGCTTCTAATTGATAATTCGATCCTTATCATTCCCACAGCTCATCTGACTACGAGAAGCCGCGGATACACCCAAGTTTCTGAGTTCAGCTCCAAAGCCTTATGCCTAAGAGGCCTAGCAATGTGGCTAACAGAAGACGCTGATAAATTGTCATCAACTGAGCTAGAGTGAAGATCGTTGGGACGAGGATAAATTCCACAGAGGTATGATGAATGCTGGATGGTAGATTAGTGTTGATCTTACGAACAAACGTTTGCCGTATTTTGGCCGCTCGACAACTGAGCATTTTGTCACGTGTATCTGATTCAGTTTAGAACCCTGGAAAGTTTGCTCGTGTACATTTCCAAATAGAATTTTGTGCAACATTTACGTTACATCGCTTTTGGGTTCGGTTCCTGCTCAAACGTGTTGCAAGCAGCCGTATGCAATTCGATTCGGGTGACACATTGGGGTCGATTTTCCAGCAGCAAGGGAGCTTAGAATGTTTACCAATCGACTTCGAACATGCTGGTGTTCAGAACTCAAGCTTCAAGGGCAAATCCATTTTACCGTTTCAATGTTAAATGGTTAGTGATCACCACCTAATGATGTATCACACCGATCATTAATTTCTAAATAGTTGTTCACCGCAACAGGGCTAGCTGAAACGGCGCAAGATTTTCTCAGCTATGATTTTTTCATTTGACATGTATCCATAATATCCCCCTCGCTTTCATAACCGATTAATGTCACACACAAAGTCACGAAAATGTAAAGGGCGAGACAAAACAAACTGGTCATCAAAGCGTGTTCCAAGTGTATGCGGGGTCAAGTTTGCCCCAGTGGCCTGTGCAAACGTTGCACTCTCACAGTGTATCAACCACGTGCTACCAAGATGACATTGCGCGTACAACATAATACTGATCCCCAAAATAAGCACTTTTGAATAAAATATTTGTTTGAGTGAGAGGTAAACAGTCCACGAAACCCACCACTTGTGAGTGCATTTGTGGCCTTCACAGTCCCACCGAAAGGACCACTGATAGAAACAAATGCTTTGATGTACTTTGATTTCCAAGCAGCGGTTTGAAGTTTGAGGAACTCAAATGAGTAAATAGTTCCTAGACTGTGCGCAACGAGTACAATCTTTCGCTGCCCGTTCAGTTTATATGTCTCCTCCACCAGTTGTTTCATCCTGTGCAGCACCTGTTGGTTCTCAGCTAGAGTAATTATTACTGATTCTTCTGGGAATCTTACTTGGGGTTCTTCGAAAATCGTATGGCGTTCCACGAACACTGACATTTCGTATGAAGAATGGGTCTTTCGTGAGTTCTTCCACGATCGCGCTGAATTCAGCGCCAATAAAATATTCATCCTCATCCAGATGTTCAATGGTCCACGTGTCACCCCATCCAGGAACAATAATTTCTACATCCGCTTTGTCGATAGTCTTCTGAGTGCTTTCGTCATACTGAAGGCTGTGAAAATTTCCGATGCCCGTTGGTTGATTGCACCTACCTGAGCAGTTGAATCAGTCGACTTATATCAAAAATATGTCTAAAGTTCAACCACAGACGATGCATGCTTCCTGAAGGATCATTTTTATCACGATAGTATATTCGACTGCCACCAAGTCCAGGAACCAACACGACGGGAAACTTTTCACCAGTGTTGATTTTATCACGGCTTACGGCTGCTTCGCACAGGAAATTGAAGAAGCAGGTGAATACCATCACTATCATTGCATAGTAGATTATCGATTCCAGTGTGTTTCGAGGCATATTGGCAAAATGTGCTTTCAAACGTTTCCATTTTTGCCGTATTTCTCGGTATATATAAATCGTTCTGTAGAATGTGAACTTTGTGTAAGGTAACTGACCTTCATCCTTAAGCAGGCGTAACAGAGTGAACAATCTGGATTACGTAAAACTCAAGATGTTCACAACCCTGTTCGAAACAGCTGTCGTATCACGCACAGTGCGCAGTTCGACAAGTTGAACTTTGACCGCAGTAGATGATATCGGGTAGCGATACAATGGAAACTAATTGCCTTTATTTCATGCACAACAAACTCCGTTGTTCACCTCCGCCTTGCCATTGATTCCGTGTTCGGGTAATGAACTGTGTGCTAGCTTACAACAATCGTACGCCCAAACAATCCAGGTAGAAAATAATTCCATTAACTCGCCAACAACCTTGTGAGTAGTTTCCTTTATGAAAATATACTGCGACATCTCGAATATCGTGCCAACTGGAACGTGAGGCGGTTTGTGTGCAGCACATTCAGTTGAAGAACACCACAAACGAGAGATTCACTTAAGTCTCCCGTGGAAACTAACTGATTTGCAAATGAGCATGTTTGTCGTCGGGGTTGTTTTCGTGTCCATAGTTTTCAGTCTCCAACCAATCACTTCTCAGTTTCCTGCTCATGTAAATGAAATCAACATACGCTGAAAAGTCCTGGAAATAAAAGCTCCTCGGATTTTCAAAATAATTTGGTTTCACCAACAGGATTGGATATGGATCAAACCCAACAGCTCAAAAGCATGACTATCACTTGAGATCTTTTCCTCGAAATTTACGCCTTTGGTTTGAGTGTCTCAAGCCCAGACAGGAAGTATCGAACTGAAACATTGATACCCATATCGAGCAATATCCAGCAGGATTTACGTCAACTAGAAGTAACCCTCTACGTCTGCATCCCTAGGGTTCCACTTACGTGAGTCAGATAAAAAGCTACTTTCGGGCTCCCCAATTTTAGTTTTAGTGGTCACGGGAGAGCTGTATTTTGATATTGTCAAGAGGTAGCTTGAGTATACCTATTGAATTTTGCGACCATAGTCGTTTAGATCGCCTGCGGCTAACTATTATGAGATTATTATTCTGGAAAACTAATGTAGCTTTTGGTGTTAGGCCCACTGGATTTTCTAATTGTACTCATTCATTATTCCCTCTCTCGCTATAGAACACTCGAATGGATTGACTAAGGACAGTGTGTTTTGGGGGATAGTGCCCTCCAGCAGGTGGAAATCGTTGGCTGAATAAGGAGATGTGGGAGATTTCAACTAGGCTTCCATCCTTGAAGTGGAATCAGTTCGTAAGTAAAAAGTCAAGAAGCAGTGTTAGCTGTTTCATCCTTGTTATTGACAGTCTTCAGCAATGCGCATCCATCGAAGCCCTAAGGGATTTGGACCAACAGCCTTCTGACTAGTAGTTGAACACAATTGTTCGGCCACTTATCCTTCAATCACAGAATTCTGAGCCATCGAGAGAACCTTCCAGCTGATTGGAGCCACTCAGTGCGTGACAGCGTGGTGTGATTTATATAATTACAGAATGAATGGTGCTGCTTCCTTTCTAAACGCAAATTAGTCATACTGTCGGACTGCTGCGCATGGTTATCACAGTAGTCATCAAGTGCTAGGTAGGAGATTTTGTGTTCGGATTTCCATGTTGTGTGTCTCAAGGCGCAGTTTTGCGTGCTTCTCCGTCTTACTTAATTAGTCCCGTGGACATTCTCCGCATCCTGGCGACCTTTTAAAGGGACTGTTCAAACGAGCCATCAATAGATTATTTTCTGATGTAGTTTATTCTGCTCGGACTTTCTACCAAAAGCTTTCTGCACAGCCCTAACCACACATCCCTCTTAAATCTACGTTACACTAACCATGCTTATCTGAGTATGATTTTCAGCCCACTTTCTCAAATGTTGCTGATCGGCCTACTAATTTCGTATACCGTACGAAAGAACCATCTGAAGCGGATGTCTTTATCGGTATGGTACCTAATGTTTTAGCCGGTACACCTTTAAATGCAGAGTGGGTCACCACCATATGCATTCCCCAAAATGGATTTTTAGCCTTCGTTTTGGATATTTTTATGGGATATGGTAAAAGTTTCATCTGCTACTCGTGCTCTATCCATTAAAATGCCGGAACCCCTTGTCTGGCAATGTGCAGTCTGATCTGAGCATTTGGCATGGTCAACGCTTTGTGTGAAGATTATCTGTATAATTTTTTTTCACAGAACGAACTATTAACTTAAGATTAAATACCCCGTGAATGATACGCACATAATGGAGTATTACGTTGCCATTTGTAGATTCGCTTTTCCCGGTACCTGTGTGGTCTGCTTCAAACGTACAAAACTGTTGCAACTTCCCCTTATGAGTAATAAGTTAATGTCACCAGAGTCTTGCAGTTGGATAAGTAAAAACTCACTACAATTCTACTGTACTACCTTGAAGTCGTTCAAAAAGGATTCGTACGTGATAACATTCACATATATAAACTCACAGCTGGGTGTGTAAATGGCTGGTTTTATTGGAGCAAATCCTCAGAGTTACAGCACTTTTTGGTCTTTGGGTGATTCTCCAAACGTTTCACTCTCTGTCCGGTGTCCGATCGCACAGACGAAAAAGATTGGAACGTCGTAAAGTCTTGTGTCGAAAGGTGAGTAAATTTATGGGACTATCAGGATATTGCTGACATTTTCAATAGCTACCATATATTTTCTTGGCTATCAACCGGTTGCTAGAGTTCAAGGATGCTTGTTTATCAGTCTTGATATGCTTTTGAAAAACGCAATGTAAGATTTGGCGAAATCTACCCATTTGCAGGTTAATTTGATTTCTCGAAGGGATCCATTAGGGGTTCACTTGTATCTTCCGCTAAAAACAGTTTCCATATGAGTGCACTTCTCGAACCGTGCACAACTTGGTCTCAATTAGAACTTAAGGTTGTGGGAAACAGGGAACCTCGCCTACCTGATGTGCTCCCACAGGAGCGAAACTGCTCGCTGGATGTTGAGGCATTTTCAGCAACCTCACTGGAAGTGTACTCCTTCAAGGTAGCATAAAGGTGCGATATGATGAAATGTAAAATAACAATATGTCTTTAGTCAGTGTCCTTCAATGAATTCAACATTCAATTCATTATGGTTCCGGCTTGACTCTCAGACTCGATCGCTTCGATGGCATTCCTTTCAAGCGACGCAATTTGTTTCCGAACAACCTACTTGTCGCTCCGATAGTACTTAAAGTATACGTTGCGTTGGAACCTCGCATCATAGCGTCGATGTCAAATGTTGACTTTTCAATCATATACTGGTAATTCACCACCTTGTTTCACAGCATCCATCTCGACGTTTAAACAAGAGTAAGTTTTACTTGCATAGACGTAATGCACTACTCCTATGGTTGCTGAAAATTCTTCAACAGCCCATGACCGTTTGCGCACTTATTGGGCTGATCAGGTGGGCGCAGTCAACCTTATGTTCTACTTGCACCCAGAGTGAACAAAATTGTCAACATACACTCAGTTGCACACCAATTTGACATGACGGGAGACTCACCTGTTATCCAGCTGAATCCCTCGTTCATGATTTTTTCGCTGCACCAGGCCGCCCCATGTATCACTTGGTACGGTATTCGAGATATCGCGATACATGTGTGGATGTAATGCACTACCCATAAGGTTGCTGAAAACTATTGGACAGCCCTTTACCGGTTTTACCCTCCTTTGGGAAAAACCCGTGTTTCCTTTGTAAACGAGAGATTCCGCTGGGTTCCAGGTGAGTCTCCCGCAAAATCAAATTGGTATGTAGATGAGTGTGTTTCGATAAGTAAGTTTTACTGCTTCAGAAGAAGTAACTGTGCAAGAAATTGTAGCAGGATTGCAGTTAAGCTCAAGATTACGTGAGAATTCAATCAAAAGTTTGGGAATGTTTGCCTTGTTAGTCGTGGACAGGTGTATCGCCTGGGTCAAAACGATAAGTGCGTTGGTGCTCAATGGACTAATAACCTACTTCCTCGGATATATGCATAAAAGTGTCCCCTTTTGGTTCTACACAAAGGATTAGTGTCATATCCAAGCTAAAAAAATGATCTTTCGCCATGATAAATTGTCCTCTAGGAATGACGATAAAAGCAGAGGATTCGTATTGAACTTGCAGCAAATAGACAGCAAAGGTTTGTATCCCTGCCTGGCTTTTCGTTTACACTGACCTTATTTTTATGTCGATAGTATTCCTGCATCAGTAAAACTGAAGACGCTACTCTGTGGTGTTCCTTCTGATAAGCTGTTGATTTTATGGGTTACTGACGTCAAAATACTTGTCGGTGAGACGCAGCATGGTGCTGATGGATGAAAATAATGGTATAATTATCGCGGGTTATACCTGCCATATCAAAAATTTTCGGAGCACATCTGGCAGATCCCACTTGAGAATACCAAGTTTTAATGTGATGACATTGTAGCACAGGGAAATAACAGACCCCTGATTCGGAGAAACACCGGAAGTCTATCACGTATTGTTGTAGCCTTTTCTTTCGGAGATAAAAGTGCATACGTCTAGTATACCAACTATAGCAGGTCAGAAGTTCGGCGGAAACTTTCAACACGTTTGTCATTGTTCGGCGAAATCTCATCTGAAATCGTGTTTTGGGTAAAACTATTAAAAGTCCTCGTGAAATAATACTGGATCAAATCTTAGGAAAACCATGAATTCGATTACTGCTACTACTAAAAAGAAGCTTAGACAAAGATCATACCACCAAATAATAAGTGTATGCGTTACTGCATCAAAGAATTCCGCTTATCTTGTAAACCCTACTGATTACAAGAATATTAATGAGAGGCTGTCTGCAATCCCAAAAGTAAATATCACTGAACCATACCAGTAAGGTTAGAAGATATACCTTAGGTTAGGTCCAATTGGTAATTAAATCCACAGAGTGGCGCTACAATGGATCATGGTATAAGCGATGCAGTGTGCCAACGGA